TCGTTCATGTTTGATCTACATCAGTGAGCTTCATGTCTACATGTTCACTAGCAAACTCACCTGTTGAAACCCCATCTCAGTGCTGGTTTACAAGCCTGCACGAGATCTTGTGTAACCTAGAGTGAAGATGTCATTTGTGCAATGCCGTCTGAAGGAAGCAAAACTGGCAATGGAGAGCTGAAGTTGCTGTAATTTAGATGTTAGTCCTAAGAATGCAGTGAAACCTGCACTGTTGTGAGAGGCCACCGTCACCGTGGGCGTGGAGTGTGACCGGGAGTGTCAGTGATTCTCCTTCACAGCAGCCCAGTCCCCTCCTCCCTTCCGGCCTCACTCTGATGTGCCCTTCCCACGCCCTCTGGACTGGAATATGTGGTGCTGCCATCCATTCACTAACAGGAACCCACTCGCAGGTACCCAGGAAGACGGGCCCAGAGATCTGCTTTCGAAAGGTCAAGGTCACGAAAACCATAAGAAATACAGTTCTACTTGGCAACACACCGGTCACTCTGAGTCAGAATTGACTGGACGCCCACTGGTTTATTCAAAGCCCAGGGGTCTCAGTGCCTGGTCAGAGTGGCTGTTGGTAACAGCCTGATGGAATTGGGATCAGCCCGGGAGAGCTGGCTTGGCATGGCATAGGGTGGGACCCAGGAATAAAGTCCCAGTTTCCTGATACATACCTTATTCTGAAAAATGAAAAGGGGCCACATGGGTGGGGTACCTTGGTCTACCATTCAGAAATATTGGCGCTGCTTTTGTGGGAGATCGTTTGACTCTGTGAACATTAGCCCTCATCCTTTGTCTTGAGGGAGTCTGTCCTGTCATCAGTGCCCCGTGAAGAGCCTGGAGAGACAGAGGAAATCACCGGCAGGCAATTTGCTTGCCGGCCAGCCCTGGCCTGTTCTAGAGAGCAGTGCACACAGGCAAAGGAAGCCCCTGGTCTGGTCGTTTTCCATAGGCATGAGGCCGAAGAGAAAAGCTCCCTCCCAGGTAAACTTGGACTAGCTATCTGGCACCATCAATCAGTTCATTGCCGGCGTGCTCAGTCCGTGCTGACCATATTTTATGAATTTGCCTGACTAACTTTGTGAAGGAAAGTTCCCTTCTTTTATTTATGCCAGCAAGCAGTGTTACGCTTTTAAAAATCCTTTATACCCCTGGAAACAAGAAATCAGAATAGGAGATCTGCTTGTTGACAGGCCCCTTCTTTCTTTCCTCTGTGCTGCTCAAACCCATGATGTACCTTGACACAGACATTGGAGTGGTGCTCAGGTATCCAGTCACTCGGGTCATGGGCTGAGAAGAATGAGCAAGTGGTTAACCAGCCCATGTGTAAACCAGTAGGAGCCCTGGGGATGGAGTGGCGATGCGTTGGCCTGTGAACCACAACACCAGCAGTTTGAAACCACTGTGTGCTCGGCTGGAGAAAGAGGAGGCTTTCTATTCCCACAAAGAGTCACAGTCTCAGAAATTCACAGAGGCAGTTCTACCCTGTCCTGTTGGGTCGTGATGACTTGGCATTGACTCAATGGCAGTACGTTCTTTTTGTTTTTTGTTTTTCTCCTCCATGGTGACCCTGGGGATAGGCATCGGGCTGCTAACTGCAAGGTCAGCAGTTCAAACCCATCAGCTGCTCTGAAGGAGAACGATGAAGCTGGCTCTGCCCTTAGAAGCATGTCCACTCTTGGAAACACGATGAGGCCGTTCTACTGTCATAGGACGTTACTGTGCGTCAGAATCAACTCACTGGCAGTGGGCTTGGTCTGGGTTTGGACTTGAGCTTCTCTCCTGTATTTCAAAGGGTACAGTGCTAATGTCTTTCGGAAAGGAAGAGCGATTTCAGCTAGGATATTAACTGGTTACTTTCCGCGGACTTTGTGTATGATATGTGTGTGCATGCATATATGAGGGAACTTCAAAAAATTCATGGAAAAATCCATTGTCTTTTAATTTCATTATTCCATTAAAAAATCATTTTATTGTGGGCTCATACAACTCTGATCACAATCCATATATACATCAATTGTATAAAGCACATTTGCACATTCGTTACCCTCATCATTCTCAAAACATTTGCTCTCCACGTAAGCCCCTGGCATCAGCTCCTCATTTTCCCCCCTCCCTTCCCGCTGTCCCAGTCATTTTTCCATTTTTGAAACTCTCTTGTACAAACTCTTCAGAAAGAAATCCCCTCAAAATGAGGCTTTTGCTAGCAACAATCTGAGAAGTGTTCATCATAGAAATGTATTTTAATATATAATTATATAAGCTTTATTTCTAACTGTAGCATTAACATGCCAGTTTTAGGATATTAGAAAATTAAAGAAGAAAATAATAGTTATCTATAATTTCTCCATACAAATAACCATTCTTAAAATATTTTCCCAAATTTTCTTTTTCTAATGAGTTTTTTTATGTATTGAAGTAGGAATGGTTATGTTAAGAATCTTTTTAAATTATTTAAAATGTTCAATAGGTAGGAATTTTAATAGCCACAAATTTTTTGTCCTCCGGATATATCTCATCACTTAACTACTCTATTAATAATTAAGAATATAGGTCGGTTGTATTAAGTTTTTGATACTACAGACATCACTTTTGCCAATACTGTCTTTACACATCAGTTTTTGTCTCTACTTATGAGTGTTTCCTGAAGTTATAGCCCTAAAAGTGGGATTACCGAGTTAAAGGGAATGGTCATTAATAAAAAATATTTTAAAATACATAACTGCAAAATCACATTCCAGACAACTTCCATACTCATTATCGGAGTGTATGAGAGCAAATTTGTCTCCCTGAGGAGGGAACAATGTACTTCCTGGCAAACCATAGTTAAAAATGACCCTGAGCCCCAGCCCCCTTCTGACAGTACAGGTTTCCCCCACTATCCAAATATGGAGCCTCTGCACTCTTCTGTAAGCAGAAGTGGTGCAAAGTATAAACTCACAGTTGTCGATCTATTCTGACACGTGGAAATAAGATCCACATACAGTATAGTGCCAATGGAAGGCTGCTGGCAAATCCACTGTCATCGCTAGTGATGTGTGCTGTCTCCTGGATGCCTGCCAAGCAAATGCTAAATAGCTAGTCTTGCAGATTTCTTTAGCTTAGTGATAAAGGTATGAATGCAAGGGGTTTTTGTTTTGTTGTGTTAGTAAAAACTAACTAACATAAAGCAAACTTAGAAAAAGTAGAATATACTTTAGGTATATATATATTTTTAATCATTTTATTGGGGTCTCGTACAACTCTTATCACAATCCATACATACATCCTTGTGTGTCAAGCACATTTGTACATTTCTTGCCATCATTCTCAAAACATTTGCTTTCTACTTGAGCCCTTGGTACCAGCTCCTCATTTTATCCCCTCCTTCCCCGCTTTCCCCTCCCTCACGAACCCTTGATGATTTATAAATTTTTTTTTCATGTCTTACACTGTCCAATGTCTCCCTTCACCCACTTTTCTGTTGCCTGTCCCCCAGGGAGTAGGTTATATGTAGATCCTTGTAATCGGTTCCCCACTTAATATATTTTTTAACATAGCCTCAGAATAGTTTTGTACTAGTGTTGTAACTTTTGGTATGACTTAAAATGTTAACTTGTCCCAAAGAAAATAGCTAATATTTGATATTTTCATTCTAGAAAATTCTATAGAGAATTCTTTTCTTTCACAAGAAAATCTGTAATGGCAGCTGTAAATTAGATGGGGAAAGACTCATACATGTCCCTTCCTAAGGAGGAACTACTTTCTTGTAACCTTTCCCCCCCACCATTTTTATTCTTTTTTTTTTTATAAAATGTTGATTTTATTATAATAATAGTGGAGAAATTGAAAGGAAGATAATTTGTCAAGATACTATATGCCAGACACTCACCCTCCTTTCAGAAATCTTGTTTTAGAATTAGTTCATACTCTTTTTTTTTTTAAATCAATTTATTGGGGCCCATTTTTATTCTTTGTATAATCTTTCTTCAGGTGGGAGTTTCATCCTTCTCCGAGTTGGTGGGTCGGCTCACAGAGCCCTGAGTAACTGCAAAGGTTTCCTTAATTTGAAAGCAAACCCAATAGGCTTCTTAGTTATATATAAAGTGAGTTAAAACCAAAGGGAGAATAATATAAAACTGAAGGGAGGTAGTAAGTAAAGCATTTAGCTTTCTGAACAATTCAAACGGGGATAGGAAGTCGGTTTTAAATGGCTTAAAGGGGATTAGGGTCTTAAAGTTGGATCAGGAGTTTGGTGCTTTAGTTTAGACACGGCATTGCTTTTAAGAGATTACTTCCATATTTGACAACAGTCCTAACTGGAGATTATAAAGCGAATAGTCGATTTGAAGTCACCTCGGAAAACAAGCGGGTTTCTTTTCCTTGTTGTTGTTTGTTTATACAAAATGGTCACCTGGTGTTAACAGGCTGGATCCGGAAGCCATCATTTTATAATAAGACAGAGGATCTATCAGCAGGGAGAATCCAGCAGAGGTGGTTTAATGCACTTAATTGAGATTATCTGAGCTTTTTGGTTTAAGTTACTTTGGGAAAAGTCTAGGTGCAAACGGCTTTTTTGAAAGGTAAACATACTTACTTACCCCTAAGGAAAAAGGTTCCACTTAAGTTCTTTAAAATTCTTTCTTTGGTTAGTGGCAACAAACACCTCATCCACTGAATTTTGGTAGACTGAATAATGTAGGAAAATAAGTCAACACACCTCAGGAGAAGGGTTACAGGAATTAACAGGGACCCATTTCCACTCTTTGACAATGCTTCGAAAGGCAATCCCATCGTATTAGAAGGCAACCCCTGACGATATTAATACCTGAAAAAGTAAAAAGATAGTGGACCGTGTCATGAGCGAAGGGTTTTAAATGAATTTATTCTCCTTGCCCTAAGAAACAGCTCATCTAGAACTGGTTCGAGACTAACACATGCCTGATGTATGTATTTAGCTGGGAGATCTTACAGTAACCAAAGTTGTGTCCACAGTTGTCCTGTGTCTTCCTCAGCTCCTAGACCTGTTTATGGTTTGGGATTGGTCCACTTATCTAGCTGATTACGGACAGCCTGCTTCAAAGTACCTCCGAGTGAACCCAAACACAGCGCTTACTCTTCTGGAGAAGTGAGTATATTTTAAAAACTGTTTTATTTGTTTTTTTTGGTATGATGTTGTATTTTTGATTCAACAACAAAGTGAAGAACTAGAAATGTCCATCAAAAGATAAATGGCGCTTAAAAGCCCCGTCCATTTTAATGACCAAAAAATGAGTCCCATTCTTTCCTGCCCTTCCAGGTTGGTGTGATTGTCTATGTGATTGCTGTTTATGTCCATATGAGTAAAACATGTTTTCCTATTGAATTCTGCATAACATGCTTAATTGGGCTTGGAAATAAGGAGATATAAATGAGGCTTGGGGCTCTTATTATTTTTTGTGTGATACTGGAAAGGTGTTTTATAAAATGTGGCTGGGAATTGGAAGGCCTGCCGTTAGGGCTGTTTACATCCTACCATTATGAATTGGGCTTTTTCAGGTAGAGAGGTAGGTGATTTGGAAAAAAAAAAATAGTAAAAACTGAGGCAACAGGATTTTCACTAGTAAAACTTACCCAACTAAAACTCACACACATGTATGGGTCATCTTTCCTTCTTACCTGGCAAATTTTCTCTCCGCTTGATACTATTCCATTTTAAGTATCCTCATAAAGTTGGCATTCTGAAGTAAAATTACATATTATTTTCTCACATTTCAAAATATTTACAGTGCATTTGATTTGAGAGGACAAAAGGACCTATTTGAAAAGAATGTAAAAATATTTTTTATAATGCCATGAAATGCAACAGAGGCCCCCCCCCAAAAAAAAGAAAAGAAAAAAGAAAATGACTGTCTCAAATTTTCTAATGTTATTTTTCCTTTTCCTTACCTCGCTGTGAATGTGATTCGCAGAGTCCATAGAGGGTATGTATTTTAGCATACTTTACGGGATGCTAATAGAAAACAATATATGACATGAGACAACGTGCACGGTTTTGATTTGTATACTGATACAAACACCACTTTGTAGTACGGAATGCTTTAAAAGGTTGCTAATTTTTGTCCCGTTGCTTTAGTTGTCAGTTTATTAGTATCAATTTTTTAAAGTGTATTTTTCCAACATAGAATCCTTGTGCTGTAATTCTGAGCATGCCATGGTCTCTTATTCGTGACAGTCTTAAGTAACTAAATTGCCTTTTACCAATCTTGTTTATTCACATATGTTTCCAGGATAAAGGATACTAACAAAAAGAACAATATATTTGCTCAGTTCAGGAAGAATGATCGAGACAAGCAAAAGTTGATAGAGACTGTTGTGAAACAGCTGCGCAGTTTGGTGAATGGGATGTCCCAGCACACCTAGACTTCCCACGGCTGCATTCATTCAGGGATGCCCAATTCACGAGTCCACACCGATCACTAACAAGCACTAGCCATGATGCAGATGCCTCTTTGCCGAATTCAAGAATACAACAGAGAACGGATGCCGGTGAGGGCTGAAACAAGAACCAGTAATAAATATCCTTTGTATGAATTTTTAAATAATTGGATACTATTTTATATGTATATATGTAATGTGATTTTTTTTCACTTTGGGGGGGGATGGCAAAACTAATATATAAATCAGGTCAAAAAGTATATATGAAAATTGACTGTCAAAAAAATAAAGAAAATTGACTGTCAACATATTAGATGTATGCCTCTACCTATAATTTGTCCTTGGGCTCTGGGCATTGTTTGGCTTTCTGTTTCAATTTGAAAGATGGTTTTTGTCATCAGTGTCTGGCTCTGGAATGTAGCTGTTGTCTGTTGCAGGAATGTTACTCCCTGTCACTTTCTGACTTTCCGCTTTTTTTACCCTCCACTTCAATTCAAAGCTCTAAAATTTCAAATTTCCCTGAGTCTGATGAGGTAATAGACACCTCCTTAAAATGCCCAAAATCAAATGATGTGACTCAGGCAGAGTCCTCGTGGGTGGGTGCATGTCAGCCTTCTGAATATGAAGGGAAGGTGGCTGGCTCCAGACTGCAGCGCTGTTTCTGTTCTTTTTTTTTTTTTTTAATCGTTTTATTAGGGGCTCATACAACTGTTTCTGTTCTATTAGTGATGTTTGCAGCTGACCCCACTCTAAGCTTTGTCTGGTTGGTTTGGTTCAACTTAAAGGCGAGGACAAAGGTGAACTGGGGCAAATTTGAAGCCGGGGTGGAGGTGGCTGTGTCTCCACACACAGGAGTCAGCACAGGCCAGTTACTTTCTTCTGCGAGCCCGTCTCCGTTCTGTGCCCTCACTGTGGAAGCAAGCCAAGCTCAAAGAACTCTGGCAAACTGAAAACAAGCGACCGTTTTCCTTTGAATAAGTTTCACATCCCTATCTTCTCACCACTATATTTATGCTTACTCCCTTGGCATTTTCAGGATTTCTGCCTGTAAGAAACTCATACTTGATGTTGTATAATAAGTGTAAGGAATCTTCTGTATATTTCTTGACTTTGTGATGGAGTATTAAAAAGACTGAGCAAATTGCTGGGTCCCGTTCTCTTCATTCAGAAGAGCTTCCTGCTGTCAGACCGCTCGTGCTTCAGAACAAGCCAACTACTTTTCCGAAATGACCAAAATCAGTCACTGGAATGGAGTGCCACCAAACCAAAGGATGTGGCATGTGTTCTTGTGACCATCTCTCACCCTAAAGCATTTCACATTGTGTGTGTGTGTGTGTGTGTGTGTGTGTAACAGCAGGAAAACCTGCTAATTCTTCGGGCACAACACAATCTGGATGTTGAGAGAGAAACTCTTTGAAGACTGTGGAATGTGGCTCTCACCAGAGCTTTTACCCAGCCCTCCAGGGCACCCCCAAATCCAAGAGCCACTGGTTTTGTGCCACCTGGAGCAGCCAGGCCTCAGCTGTGGTACCTGGATGGGATTCATTTTGCTTTTCCTGATAGTTACACCGCCCTCCAGGGCCCTAGAGGCATTGGGAGCCCTCAGAGCAGGACACAAACACACACAAAAATAAACACCCAAGTACACCCAGGCGCGGGTTCCCTAGATGGAAGTGGGAAGTGGTTGCATTTGAGACCCAGCAGCACCCCAGGTTGTCCCTTCTTGCAAGCGTTGGACATCTCCGCAGGGGCGCTTTGGGCAGCAGTGGAACCACAGATGAATTTTTTAAAAAAAAAATTTTTACAGTATTAAAATTTATTTTTGAAAGATTCCCTAAGTGATAGATCAGAAACGGAGAGGCCAGGGGAATCAAGACCGGAGAATCCGCACTTTACTAGACACGGACAATAATCCGTGATAAGGTTTTTGTCGATTTGCGCTGAACAAAGAGAAAAACTCCAGCCCTTTAACCTTGAGGCGGCACAAGGAGGGTACCTCGGATCCCAGAGAGAGCCAGGGGTGGGCCAAGAGTACCCCGGGGTGCAAGTCTTCATCTGCCCAGCCTGCCCAGTGTAAACCCCCACCCCCACCCCCAGCTCTTGCAGAGAGCCGGGAAGTTCTGGCGGGAAGCCCCAGATCCCGCCCAAAGATCTGCCCCCCTCTCCGCCTAGGCTGCCCCTCCCCATCTAGAGCCCCTGGGTGAGTATGCTGCTGCCACCACCTCCAATCATGACTCGGCACGGAGTGCTTTAAATATGCATAGGCTCCGCACGCTGGTGAACCCAGATCCGTCGGTAGGGAGGGGGCCAATAGCTATATAAATGTGCCCAGGGCCCGCTGAGAGGGTTATACGCCGAAGGAAGGAGGGAGGCAGGGCGGGAGTGTGCAGCCCCCAGGGTCGGTGGTTGGGGGGCCTTAGCAACCCAGGCTGGCTACTCCTTCCTTTGCCCACCTTTGCTGCTTCAATCCTGCCTCTGGAGGGGGCACTTTCCAGGGCTCAAGTGTGAAGAAGGATAAGGTGGGAGGTGCCCACGGGTGACAGCTTTAGCGATCTTCAGGCAACCAGCACCCCTTCGAGGGACTGGTATTTGGGCCCAAGAGCAGACTCCTGGAAGTGCCCGTTGGGGCCCTTTCCTGTGGCGGGAACAGGTGAACTCGCTCACACCTTCTGCCCTCTGCTCGAAACAGCCTGGCCTCCAGATGCTCCCCTGGGGCATGAGCTGTTTGTCGGTGCTGGGGGCGGTAGGCACTGCTCTCCTGTGTGCTGGCTTGCTGCTCGGCCTGGCACAGCACCTCTGGACCCTCCGCTGGACGCTGAGCCGGGACCGGGCCTGCGCCCTGCCCCTGCCCAAGGGCTCCATGGGCTGGCCCTTCTTCGGCGAATCGTTGCACTGGTTAGTTCAGGTGAGCAGCCCGTGGTTCCCTTCCCCACCAATCCGGCCCCTGCTTCCCGGCTCCCTCAGCACAGTGATGCTTTCAGACTTAGTAGCCAACCCAGAGCCCCGCGGGACACCGCCCACCCTTGGACCAGCTGCCTCCTGTGCCTTCAAGGGCACCGTGAGGTCGCCATCCCCAGAAGTTTTCCCAGTGCAACTTAAACCCTTTCCTGGCACAAGGTAGGAAGAAATAGAAGGGATCTAAAGTGCGTGACCCCGTTTGTCCTGCAAGCATAGAATCCGAAGCCAGGGGCGCCTCCCAGCCATGAGCCTTGGCACACCAAGACCGCTTCCTGAGTCCCGATTTCACCCGATGGGAATATGGAAGTATCTCCATCTCTCATAGTCTCCGAGGGCCTGGGACCCTGTACTTAACATGCTCGGTAAAGAAAGAGTCACGCGCCTCCCTCGGGTGGGGACTTGTTGCCCAGGGGCGATTGGAGGCCCCGCGGCCCGAGTCCGCCCTGCTCTGCCTCTGCTCGCAGGGCTCGCGCTTCCACAGCTCCCGCCGGGCGCGCTACGGGACGGTGTTCAAGACGCACTTGCTGGGCAGGCCGGTGATCCGCGTGAGCGGCGCGGAGAATGTGCGCACCATCCTGCTGGGCGAACACCGCCTGGTTCGCAGCCAGTGGCCGCAGAGCGCGCACATCTTGCTGGGGGAGCACACACTGCTCTGCGCTGTGGGCGAGTCGCACCGGAGGCTGCGCAAGGTGAGCGGCGGCCAGGGAGGGGCTCTGTGGACCTCAGCCCCGCCAGTCCCCTGCTGTAGAACAGGTGAGGGCCAGGTAGTAGTCGGGGACACTGCCAACCTTGCAGTAGTGGTTTCGTCACTATGCTTTGGGCTGCTAACCATAAGGTCGGCAATTCGAAACCACCCACCACTCCACGGGAGAAAGATACGGCTTTACACTTCCGTAAAGCGTTACCTATAGGATCTGTGAGTCGGATCCTGTGAGTGAGCGAGTGAGCGAGTGAGCAAGTGAGCGAGCGATGTCAACCTTGCTGCGATCCCTAGTTAACAACCAAGCCACCTTGGACCAGTCCCTTACTCTGTCTCACTTTTAAGGCCAAGGTTGGGACTAAACGATTTTCCCAGGGTTCAGCCCTTCCGTGACTGGGATGCCAGCAACAGGGGAAACTCAGACCTGATTGCCTTCTGGGCAGACTTCCTGGAGGAGGTGGCAGTGGAGCCTGGAGGGAAGTGAGGGTAAATCAGCAGAGCCAGAACCAGAGTGTAGACCTTGGCCTCTGGCAGGGCTGGGGGTGGGGTGGGGTAGGGTAGGGATTGTCTTTTTGGTCCCTCGGGGATGGCGGGGTCCAGCAGGTTGGGCCGCGGCCCGGGCTGAGTGCTCGCCCTCCCCGCAGGTCCTGGCGCGCGCGTTCAGCCGCGCGGCGCTGGAGCGCTACGTGCCGCGCCTGCAGAGGGCGCTGCGGCGTGAGGTGCGCTCCTGGTGCGCGGAGCCCGGGCCCGTGGCGGTCTACCAGGCAGCCAAGGCGCTCACCTTCCGCGCAGCCGCGCGCATCCTCCTGGGGCTGCGTCTGGACGAGGCCCAGTGCGCCGAGCTGGCCCGAACCTTCGAGCAGCTGGTGGAGAACCTCTTCTCCTTGCCCCTGGATATGCCTTTCAGCGGCCTGCGCAAGGTACCACAGCCCGGGTTCCTAGAGGCCGGAGTCGCGGCCCCAGCCTCCGCCCTGACTGGCTGTGCGACACAGGGCGGGCCCCACAGCTTCTCTGGTTACGCGCTGCCCGCCCCGCACTCCAACCCTAGCAGCTGCAGCGCTCTGCTCGAGCTTGGGTCTTGGTGTTGGGCGCCCAGTCAGTCACCCTGGCCCCTCCCTGGAGCGGCGCCTCCAGGCAGGGCCTCTTCCGAAGCCGCTGGGGCTGCGGCAAGGGCTGGAGTGCGAGGGTCACAGACCCCTCTCGTGCCCGGCCAGGGGTCGGAGAAGGGTGGGTGTTAGCTCCCAGACCTCTATTTCCGGATCAGAGAACCACCACAACCTTGGCCATCCAAGACAGGGCCAGCAGAGCAACTACAGGCCATCCTGCCCTCTCCCCCTGATCTGATGCTTCTCCCAGCTGGTCCCCTCGTTTTAGGTGGCCTGAATAAAATGAATAAATGTGTATAAAGGTGCGTGCTATGGGCTGAGCATCTTGCACACTGCCTAATTCACTGCTTTCAGCCTGCTGTTATTACAGTATTATCGTTTGTTTTTTAAAGAAGAAACTGGGGCTTCGAGGGGTTAAGTGATTTACTCAAAATCAAAAGAGTCTGGGGCAGAGGCAGGACTTGAACCCAGAGATCCCCTGGCTCCAAAACCCAGGTACTCAGTGACACTGCTTCCCAAGCTGAGACAGTCTTCCTTTTGCATGCATTTGCTTCCTAAACTTTTTTGGTCCACACCCCCTTGCTAATGCTTAGGGCATTCTAAGGTGCCAGGCACAAAACTAGGCCGAAAGAGAGTTAACACAGGAACTTCGGTAGAGCCACCCCAGAAAGCTTTCCGTATAGGTGCCGCACCTGGGCCCCTGAGCCATGTGAGCCTACCTCCCTTTTCTCCCTGCTGCCGCTTAGGGCATCCGGGCTCGGGACCAGCTGCATCGGCACCTGGAGGAGGCCATTGCAGAGAGGCTTCGGGAGGACAGGGCTGAGGAGCCAGGGGATGCCTTCGATCTGATTGTCCACAGCGCCAGGGAACTTGGCTGTGAGCTCTCCGTGCAAGAACTCAAGGTAGGTTTGGGGTGGGTGGGGTGGGGGAGCCCCCGCACCTCCCCTCTTATGCCTTCCCATTAGGCCTCCACACACATTCTGCTGCCCTGAGTCACATCCTATTTGGTCCCACTCTGAGCCACAGCCCCCCTCAGGATAAACAGCAAGAGGAGACCTGGGTTCCAGTCTTGGCTCAGCTGCATCCACGACCTGTGTGGCTTGGACCACTCAGGGCCCCTCTAGAGACCCCTCTCTCAGCAACATCCCGCCCTCTTTGCTGTCACTCATTCCACTGCTTCTGCTGTTTCCTCTGCTGAAGCCTCTTCCTTCCTTTGCGGTCTCAGGGTCACACTCCACATCCTCCTTGAACCCCCCTTCCCCCCAGCAACACTCTGCTTCCATGAGCCACCTTGGCATCTGGTTGCTTTTGTTTTTAAACACCTCAGGCATTCAATGGGACTGGGCAGAATCCCCAGGAGAATTAGTACCTCTCTGTGGTACAAATAGTTAACATGCCTAGTTGTTAACCAAAAAAGTTTTCGAATCTACACCAAGTTGTGACAGCAAAAAGCCCTGCAACCTGCTTCCCCCAAATCAGCCATTGAGAACCCTAGGGGAGCACCGTTCTTTCTTGTGGGGTCACCATGTGGGTCAGCAGACATAGAACACCTATAGGAAGGAAGGAAGGCGGGAAGCTTTGACTAGCCCCCAGGGTTTGCTGAAGAACTTGCAAAGGGGTAGAGGATTTGATGGGCAGGGCCCGGTAGAGGGTGGGGTGGAGTAGAAATGGGAACACCTCGGTCCTGTGGGAAGCAGTTCTCCAACTCCCACCCTCTCTCTGGGCTCACCCTCTCCTTAGGCCCGCCACCAGCCACAGGAGGAATAGGCTCAGCTTTCTCCTCGATCATCTCTGCCCTGAGTCTTGCAGGGTTGTGAAGTTGAGAGGAGCCAAGGGAGCTAGAAGGAGGGGGGGAGTGGGTGGGAACAGCTCTGAGCTGTGAAGGGGTGGGGAGGGCATGAGGGTGTGGAAAGCAAGAGGCCCACTGGTCACAAATCTTCAGTCTGGCCTGGATGTCAGCAGGAGGCTGAGGGGTTCCCTGGGGCCCAGGGCTTTTTTCCCCAGGCTCTCCCTCTTGTCCATAGCTAGGTGATTAGTTTGGGCCTCCAACCGGTCATTGGTTCCACACATGTCCCTCTTTGGTGCCTGGCTCCATGCTGGGCCTGGGGACTTGGATTTGGCAACAAGCAAGATACATGCCCTGCCCCTGAGCTGCAGGGAAGAGAGAACCACAACCTAGAATACACAATCAGTGTGAAAACCAGTGTGAAAATTGTGGTCCCAGCCACCTTACAGGAAGACAGAGGGACCTGGGAGGTAAGAGGCAGGGAGGGTAGACTGATGACTGCCAATCAAAGCCCCCAGGCCTCTCCTTTGTGCATCTACCAAGAGCTACCAAGAGCTAGCAAGGAAGCAACTGAGTGACTCTCTGAGACCATCCCAGGAAGCCTGGAGACCCAGTCATAGGGTTGCTTCAGTGCGAGACTGGGGCTGCTGTCACCTGTCCCTCTGATCCACTGAGGTCAATCACAGGACCGCCCCAAGATGGTTAAGAACAGGAGGCTTCCCGGCCCTGATGGCTGGGCTCTTACGCATGTGACAATCCATTCCATTGCCTGTTTCCAAATCTAAAATGAGGACGGTAATTGTGCCTCACAGGGTCTAGCTGAGGTTTGAACAGGTGAATAGGTTCAGAGCACTCAGACTAGAGCATGGGTAGCTTCCTAACATTATCTTTGGACTCCTCCCACCCCAGGTGGGTAAGGACTTTTCTGTCCCCTGAGTTACTATATATCACTTTCTCTAGAGTGGCGAATTTGAGATTCAATCAACACTACCAACGCTCTCTAGTGTCCACTCGCTGGCCTTTTGCCCAGTGGCAGAGACAGGTTGAGCCCTCCTCGCCCTGCAGTGGGGCCAGCCGTAGGGTCAGGCTCCCGGTGACAGGGCTGAGCCCCCACTGGGGACTATCTTGCAGGAGTCAGCTGTGGAGCTGCTCTTCGCTGCCTTCTTCACCACGGCCAGCGCCAGCACGTCTCTAGTCCTGCTGCTGCTGCAGCACCCAGCGGCCATCGCCAACATCCAGCAGGAGCTGGAGGCTCAGGGGCTGGAGCGCCCGTGCAGCTGCGCTCCGGGTGCCGTGGGAGGTGACCCGGGGCTCGGGCCCGACTGTGGCTGCGAGCCGGACCTCAGCCTCGCCACACTGGGCCGCCTGCGCTACGTGGACTGCGTGGTCAAGGAGGTGCTGCGCCTCCTGCCGCCAGTGTCCGGGGGCTACCGCATCGCCTTGCGCACCTTCGAGCTAGATGTAAGTGCGCCTCCCAGCGCTTGCCCCTGCCGGCCTCCTGCCACCTGCTGCGGGGGTGGGGGCGGGGGCCACTGGGGCAGCTGGCAGGGACAGGATTCAAATGGCCAGGCCTCTCCTTGTCCTCTCCCAGAGCCTAGGCTTTCCCACCTGGAGAGTAGGCCAAATCCAGTGCCACCCACCAGGATCCCACATTGAGGGATGAGTAAGGCTGGGGCCAGCAGGCCAGCAGAATAGGGAACCTATTGTTGAGCCTCAGGTCATCGTGAATTCAACGAGAGTTGAGTTTTACGATAAAAACATACATTTCTCCTAGCAAACAAGCCCCTAGCCTAGCCAGTGCGTCTGGCCGCAGAACAAACAGAGCCTCCCGCACTATAGCCTGTAGCCCACCCCTCTGGCCTCCTCACCTATCAAGAACCTCATCAGCGGCAAGTTGGATCACTTGTGGCAATTAAAATGTGGGTGGAATCTGATCAGCTTGTTGGACGCTGGGCAAAGATAAGGTCTAGGCCCAACTCACTCTGTATGTGTATGACTTGGGCCAGTTTCCTCCCCACCCTGGGCCTCAGGTGGCCTTCTGGGAAGAGCCTGTTTTAGCCCTTTCCTTTTCTGATCTTCCAGGTGAGGCTGGGGCTATGTGTCACAGTGGCTTTGTCGGGGAGTGGCGCCCTTGCGCTGCTGAACTGACAGTGTTTGCCTGAAAGGTTATAGCGGGGCAGTCCTGAGCCTGGATTGGAGCTCAGGGCTTGGTCTCCTGGCTGCTCTAGGCAGAGTATAGGTTCCGCCTTCCCTGGTGCTTTACATATCAAACTGTCAGGAGCGCTGGCAGGCCCAGCGACCTAAGGGACTGGATTCTGCCCTGCTTGAATTGGAAAAGGAAGGGAGAGGGAGAGGCATAGCTACATACCCCCACCCTAGTTTACCCCAAACTGTGCTTCAGAACAGGAAAACATTTTGAGCATGGGCATGTGATCTGGGGCGAGAGAGCAGAGAGCCCAGGCAGGAGTAGGGAGATGAGTAAGGTGTTCAGAAATCTCTTGGGTGTTCATGGCATTCAGACTTCATTCCCCAAGCACTAGAGAGCCCGAAAGACCTTCAGGAGAAGAGCGCAGATCATAGAGGGCAGGGAGGGGTGGAGCAAAAACCTTAGCACCCCCCACCAACCTCATTTACAGATGGGGAAAGTGAGGGTCCAGGGAAAAGAGAGTGTTCTTGGGGGATTCCAAAATGTTCTGCCCATCTCTTGAGAGACTCAAGAGACACCCTGAAGCCACTTGAAGAATGGGTAGCAGAATAGTCAGGGGGTTGGAAACCATGTCCAAAGAGGAATGGTGTAAAAGTTGGGGAGAGAGAGCACATGAGAACTGCCTCCCAATACTCCAAGGATGCCCAGTTTCCCATGGGGACCTTCCAACAGTGTGGCTAGCAGACCTGAGCATTATTGGCCAGCTTGGGCTGCCAACGACAAGGTCAACAGTTGGAAACTACCAGCCACCCTGGGCCGGAGGGAGAAAGGTGGTTCTTTCTACTCACATAAAGAGTTACAGTCTCAGAAACCCACAGGGGGATTTCTTCCCTGTTCTATAGGGTCGCTATGAGTTGGAATCAACTTGATGGCAGAGAGTTTGGTTTTGGGTTCTGGGGTGGGTGATGCCCTTGGTTTCTGCTAGTGGCATCACAAAAGAAAGTCTTAGCGATTTGCTCTCCAGAAGAAAACAGCCAAGATGCCGTGACCCTTTAATACAGTTTCTCATGTTGTGGTGACCCCTCCCCCAACCATAACATTATGTTCGTTGTTACTTCATAACTGTAATTTTGCTAATGTTATGAATCGGGCGACCCCTGTGAAAGGGTTGTTCGACCCCCAAAGGGATCTCCACTCAGGTTGAGAACTGCTGCTCTCGGGAGAAATTTGACTCTGAAGCACAGGGGTGTAGTCAGGAGCTGGATGGCTGGAGGTTTTCTTTTTTCAGTGGGTAGGAAGCAATAGGAGGTAATATTCCATTCAATTCAACTAAAAAAACACCCCAAACTGACTGCCATTGACTAGATGTTGACTCTTAGTGACTCTGAGGGTAGAACTACCCCTGTGAGTTTCCACGACTATAACTTTTTATGAGAGTACAGAGCCTCCTCTTTCTCCTGCGAAGCAGCTGGTGGATTCGAGCGCTGACCTAGCGGGTAGCAGTTCATGTGTAACCATTATGCCACCAGGACTCTCCTAAGTCAGTGCAAAGAATAGTTTGACAGCTGAGCTGGCCATAGAGGAATCTGGGCATCTGTCATTTTTGTTGTTCCCAAGTAGGCAGGACTAGTATTCAGGGAAGGTGCAGACTAGGATTCAGGTCTCCTGAGCTAATGTAAGAAAAAAATACAAAAGTAAAATACAGGAAAATAAATACTATTAGATCCCATTCACCGAACATTAATATATGTGCCAGCGTCTTGCTTCCAATCCTCACAACCACAAAGTGGACCTTTTGGCCCTCACTCGATCAGTTCGGAACCTGAGGCTCAGAAATACTGAGTAGCTAGTCCAAGGTCACACCGTAACTACAGAAGGAGCTGTACTGGCTGGCACTCCAGAGCAACCTCCTGGCGTCCGGCTTAGTAGCACGTGATGCACCGGGAGTGGAGGGTCAGTCCATGTGCCTCCTGGGTAAACCGCTCTCCGCGCCTCCCTACAGGGCTATCAGATCCCCAAGGGTTGGAGTGTGATGTACAGCATCCGGGACACGCACGAGACCGCAGCGGTGTACCACAGCCCGCCCGAGGGCTTCGACCCGGAACGCTTCGGGGCGACGCGCGAAGATGCGCCAGGAGCCGCGGGCCGCTTTCATTACATCCCATTCGGCGGCGGCGCGCGGAGCTGCCTCGGCCAGGAGCTGGCGCAGGCGATGCTCCAGCTGCTCGCGGTGGAGCTGGTGCGCACCGCGCGGTGGGAGCTGGCCACGCCTGCCTTCCCCGCCATGCAGACGGTGCCCATCGTGCACCCGGTGGACGGACTGCAGCTCTTTTTCCATCGCCTAGCGCCCCCGGCGGCGGCGGGGGGCTCAGGCCCCTGACGCGCAGCGCTGCGGGACGCAGCTGGGCCAGCGGCTGCGGCTCGCCCGCCGCACGCACGACCCGCGACGGCCCCGTGCTGGGGCCAGCGGCCACGCCCTCCCCAAGCGCTCGCCCATCGCGTCTCTGTGCTGGACTCTAAGGAGGCCCAGTCGCGGGAGCAAGCCGTGCGCTTCTGCCACAGCGCGGGAGACGTGCCCAGACCCGAGCTAAGGTCCCTCCTGCGCCCCGCGCCCCGAGGAAGGAGACGTCTGGAGCCAAGCTTCGGAAGCCCTTCCCAGGATCACCAAGCAGAAATGGCGGGAACCGATCTCCACCAGAAACTCCCGGGCCTCGCCTTCCCGGGCCAGTTCGGGGCGGCGCCAGACTCCCAGAGCGGCAGGAAGGATCGCGCCGCCACGCCAAGGGTGCCAGAAACCGGGCGCCGGTGGCAGGAGCTGTAAACCGGCAGGGAAGCAGGGACTGAGGAGGGAGCGCGAGCCTGGTCTGGCTTTGAGCTTTAGAAAGAGCCATCCAAGAGGGCTCCTAACGCAAGACCCGCAGGCCGCTGGCCTGGGGTTTGTGCGGCCGCGCCACTTCTGGTCTTAGCGGAAACTAAGGGCTCTAAGCAGCTCAACACCACCGACTTCTGTTGGCGACTCCTTCCTAGTTCAAGACGCGTAGGTATGGACACCACGCCAAGGAGCCTGTAAGGCTGGGTTGTTTTCCTGCAGATGGAGACATTATCAGAGCGGTTTGGGATATTTGTACTAAAAATAGAAAAGGGCTGAGAAATCGTTTCCTGGCAGCGACTGAGGAAGGAGGCGAGAAGTTTAGCTGGGCGGCTACTGGAGGGTGGTGGAGATCTGGGGAGGGACCCAGGCCAGCGTCTGCACAAAGAGAATTGGGGCCGGACGTTGAGGTGATTTATCTCTGGGATAGCTGGCTACAGGGTCCTCCTGGATGCATGCCTCAACCAACCCCCTCTATTGTGGAGGGAAAAACCGAGGAGCAAGAAAGGTCAATGACTGCTGGAGGAGGCAGCAATGAAGGCTCAGGCACCTGGACTCCACCGCCAGTGCTCTCCCCAGTCCCAGCCTGGGCCTGTGGCCGCCTTATACAACTGAGCCCTCTCCTCCTTTCACAGTGAGTGTTGGCCTGGCGGCGCTCTCTGAACTTTTCTAGCTATGTCCACCCGCGTTTCATTCAAAGCCCAGAGCCATTCCAGGCCCATTTGCAACGTGCCACCCATCATCCGACAGGCCCAGGCTGCTGGACATGAAGGTCGAGCCGGAAAAGTTGCAGCCTAGGCCTGAGCTCTGACCCTTTAGTGAACCAGAAGGAAGCCTGTGCCCTCCTGACCTTATGCTTAAGGTGGATCCTGGGGCCAGAAAGAAGGGGGGATGCAGCCAGCTCGAACAGGGTCAGTGGCTCAAGAACGCAGCGGGCCCTTCGGAGCTCTGCTCTGACACGGTGGTAACCCCCATCCAGGGCAATTCATCACCTACTGCCGCCCACTGGCCGGCGCCAGGCCCTGAACTCAGCGGGCGCCAGAGGCAGCAAATGCGGGCAGGCCCACTGCCTGCCTTCAGGGCGCTCTTGGAGAGGCTCACGGGAAGGGATTGCTTTGGGGGAGGCCTGGGGTGTGGGGAGGGGCAGAGGGGGACAGATTAGGTCTGGTGCCAGCTGACCTGGCTTACCAGCTTTGCCCTCAGGATCAAACTATAATTCCTTACAGGGAGGACTTAGGGCCTTGACCATTACTCGAATTTTCCACTGATATATCATGTTTAGTCATATCAAATAATATGGAGGCTTTAGGAGCTTTGGATGCTGCGGGCTGGGGAACAGCAGATGTGCTTCCTGGCCTTGACAGCCTGATGGAGGAGGTGGACGAATAAAAAAGCAAATAATAGAGCCAGCCAGAATCTGTCCAAGGATGCTGGGGTGAGTGCCGTAGAGGCCATAAAACAGAAGATGCGATTCAGAGAGGCCTGGGCGCTGTGTGTGTGGCCAGAGAAGGCTTCTCTGAGGCTGTACATTTGACTTTGAAAGATACCAGCCAGTGGACCTGGAAGAAGGACATCATCCGAGGGAGTGGCCTGAACAGAAGCGCTGAGGCCTGACAGTGTGTGAGAAGGGGGTTGAGGGGAGACACATATAGGTGTGGGGTAGGGGTGGGGAGGGGTTAAGGGTGCTCTGACAGGGCCAGCCACCATCTTCCCTCCCCATGGAAAAAGCTACTGTTCTCCCTAACCCTTAGAATCAGGGATGCTGTTTTGTAAATAGTTGGGAAACATTTGATTTTCCCGTGATCCCCAAGCCCCTTCCCGACCACCGCCACCTGAGAAAGTTTGGATAGGTTCCTAAGACCAGAGTTCTTACTGAGCTCAAAATTTCAAAATTTAACACGCCTGCCTCCCCTTCAAGATGTCCTTTCCTGGTAGCTGTCTCTCAGTGCCATTTTATCTTTTCCTGCGGGACAGACGCCCCTCCCCACCATCTCTAAGGGCAGATGACCCCCCCACCCCACCCCACCCCCCACCCCGGTGGCTATTTCCAGAGATCAGACTCTGCTCATCTTGTGACCCGGCAAGCGGCAAGAGCTGAACTTGGCGAGGTGGCCTCACAGAGTTCACTCGGATGTCATGGTCCGGTCTGCTGGGGTCACAGGCCGGTCAGACCGGAGGATTGGGAATGGGCTCCAGGTCACCAGCTTTGCTCACCGGTCAGCTGCACTGCCCAGAAAGGGGTGGGCCCAGGGTTTGGGAGAATAACCACGGGTGAGGGGTGGGCCCATGCTGTTCACAGTGACCGGATTATTAGAGGAAACAGTGGCAGAGCCTGGGTAACACCCCCTGGAGATCCTGGGCTTGAGCACGCAGGAGATATTTACCAACCCCTCGGGGGCTCCAAGACCACCGCAAGGGGGCCACGGTCCTTATCAGCTCTTAGAGTCAAAGAGTTTTCTATGGCCACCGCACGCTTTCCAAAGGAACGTGACATGCCCCCATTATAACTGGTGTACCAACAAACATACACAATTCCGTTTCGTTTTCGGCACTGACTGTGCATTCCCGACCAAACCAGGGGAGCGTGTGACCCTGACTGGCCCTTGGCAGTGCGAATCGGTCAAGGCAGGTGCTGGCCCCGCAGTGCCGGGGCTCCAGGCATTGGCTGCAATAGAAATTGATTGTAGTTGGGAAGTGTCCAAGAGATCCACACCTGCGCGCAGGTCCCCCCAAGCCGCCCATTAACTGTAGGGGAAGATGGAAGTGAAGGGCCCCCTAAGCATGGGCAGTGGTTTTGAACTAGATCAGGGCTGGAAAGGGAGGAAGGTTCCAGGGTGTCAGCGCCCAAGTTTCCCAGGTAGAGCAGCCTAGGGTGCTAGGTAGGAGTGGGGAAGAATATTTGCAAGGAAAGGTCCCTTTTGGGAATTCACAACCACCCAGTGTAGACAGTCTGGGCCAGAAAGCATGGCCCCATAGAAAAGAGGACAGTGATGTTTGATGACTTGCCCAATGTCCTGCAAGTAGAGATGGAGCAGGGTCTCAGAGCTTTCTATCTTCTGCCAGGGCTGGGGACCCCCTACCAAACTGTATACTAACTAAAGGCGGGGGTGGGCGGTGGAGGGGGGCTCAGAATCCAGAAGGCACCAGCTCGATCGATCACCGAGTGCGGCGCAATTTGTAGAGCCGCGAGGGAATGGTCGTGGAGGCGTCCCAGTGGGGCATTAGGACTAGGGGCACGTGGAATGCTGAGGGGCCCTTAAGTAGGGCCTTCCAGGATGTAATGAGTGTGGGTTCTCTTGCGGGACTGGGGAGCTAGGATCCAAGACTCCCCGCCTGAGTCCTGGAAGGGTTGAGACGCCTACTTTTGACTCAGTGTTCAGAGACTTAGTTTCCCATCTTTGGGGCAAGTCAGCTAGCCGATTTCGAATGCACTTCCCCAGCAGGTGGCCGGGAACCGACGCGGCGCCGGTGCGTTGACCGTCGGAGGAGGAGGCGGCGCGATGAACCCGGCACGACGGATCCCAACGAGATCTCCGGGAAAGGTCCCGGCTCGGAGTGCCAGCTCCCGAGCCTCCGGACGACAGGGTCCGCCCGGGAGCTCCGCACACCTGGGATGGGGGAGGCGGCTAGCTCCCAGCCCTGCGCCCCAGGCGGCGCGCTCCCAGAGCAGCCGCGGCCGCACCTCCTCTGCCGGCGTGCGGAACAAACGGTTAAAGATTTTGGGCAGCGCCTCGCGGGGGGGAGGAGCCAGCAGCCCAATCCGCAATTAAAGATGAACTTTGAGTGAACTAATTTGTCTGACCAAGGTAACGTGGGCAGCAACCTGGGCCGCTTATAAAGCGGGCGCGCGGCGGGCCGGGGAGCGTCTGGGGCGGCAGCAGGTGGCGCGGGAGGTTGCCGCGCGCCATGGGGCTCCCCGCGCTGCTCGCCAGCGCGCTGTGCACCTTCGTGCTCCCGCTGTTGCTCTTCCTGGCCGCGCTCAAGCTCTGGGAGCTGTACTGCGTGAGCAGCCGCGACCGCACGTGCGCCCTCCCCCTGCCCCCCGGGACCATGGGCTTCCCCTTCTTCGGGGAAACACTGCAGATGGTGCTGCAGGTAAGGGAGCTCCGGGCGGGACCTCGGCGCGGGACCGGACCCTTCCCCGGAGCCGCGCTCGGCTCCCGCTCGGAGCTTCTCCCCTCGGCAGCCCGGGGGGCGCTCCCGGGAAGGAGGCGGCGAGCCAGGTTCGCGGGAGCCGGCGGCGCTCCCCGGCGCCCCCTCACGCCGCCCTCTCTCCACCGCCTTCTTCTCGCAGAGGAGGAAGTTCCTGCAGATGAAGCGCAGGAAATACGGCTTCATCTACAAGACGCATCTGTTTGGGCGGCCCACGGTGCGCGTGATGGGCGCCGACAATGTGCGGCGCATTTTGCTCGGGGAGCATCGGCTGGTGTCGGTCCACTGGCCCGTGTCGGTGCGCACCATCTTGGGTTCTGGCTGCCTCTCCAACCTGCACGACTCCTCGCACAAGCAGCGCAAAAAGGTGAGGGCGGGCTCGGGAGGGCGTCCCCCTTCCCCGCCCGGGTGCGGGCGGAGAGACCCGCGCGGTCCTGCCTAGGGCAGCGCCCGACCCTGGTGGAGCTATTGCACCGCGGCGCGCCTCGGGTCCCCCGGGCGGGGCGCGCGCGCGCGCGTCTTTAACCCTTCCCCCTCCTCGGCGGGGCTCAGGTGATCATGCGGGCTTTCAGCCGCGAGGCGCTCCAGTGCTACGTGCCGGTGATCGCCGAAGAAGTCGGAAGCTGCTTGGAGCGCTGGCTGAGCAGCGGCGAGGGCGGCCTCCTGGTCTATCCGGAGGTGAAGCGGCTCATGTTCCGCATCGCGATGCGCATTCTGCTGGGCTGCGAGCCGCCTCTGGCCAGCGGCGCGGAGGCCGAGCAGGAGCTGGTGGAGGCCTTTGAGGAGATGATCCGCAACCTCTTCTCGCTGCCCATCGACGTGCCCTTCAGCGGACTGTACCGGGTAAGGGCGCCGCACGGGTCCGGAGCGGCGGGAGGGCGCGGGAGCCGGGCGTCTGCTGACCGAGGCGCGCTCTCTGCGCTCAGGGCATGAAGGCGCGGAACCTGATCCACGCGCGCATCGAGGAGAACATTCGCACCAAGATCTGCCGGCTGCGGGCCGTGGAGGAGGGCGGGGGCTGCAAAGACGCGCTGCAGCTGCTGATCGAACACTCCTGGGAGAAGGGGGAGCGGCTGGACATGCAGGTAAGGCCTGGCGCCGTTGGCGCTCCTAGGGTCGTTGTTGTTGTTGGTGGTGGTGGTGGGGTGGGGACCCGAGCGCGCCTGGCTTCCCCTCCGGGGGTGCTGGAGGCTGGGAGGCCAAGGCAGAGCTGCAGCCCAGAGAACCACAGAACTGGCAGGGTCCCGCCCCGCCCGGCTTTCACAGGCAAAGCTGGAATATGCAAAATGTTAATAATTCAGCTTGGGCGATTTTAAGAACAAGTGACTGCTTTAATTCTGGGGTTCGCGGTAGATTGGGGCTCTTGGTTGCCTTCCTGCTCTAGCTGAACTTAAGAGACTTGGCATCTTGCTAATTTGGGTCGGTTAAGAAAGAAATGGGCTGTAGGAAACATTGAAGCCCAGCGCCCTTTTGTCAGCCATCACCACTTGGATCTTGGCTAGTCTTCTTTTTGAAGCGGTCTGCCCTGGTCGGTCAGACGGGTAATCTTCCTGTAGAAACGCTCCACTTCACGCCGTTCTCTAGGCTCTAAAGCAGTCTTCAACCGAACTCCTTTTTGGAGGGCACGAAACCACGGCCAGTGCCGCCACGTCTCTGATCACTTACCTGGGACTCTACCCCCACGTCCTCCAGAAGGTGCGAGAGGAACTCAAGAGCCAGGTAAGGCAACTACGCAGGCTCCCTGTTAGCTGAAGACGTTCCGCTGCTCTAGAGTCTATATCCCTGAACAACGCTGAAATATTATATCCCCCAGAGGATTTCGAGAGTGCAGAACCCAGGGGAGGACGGGCCGGTGGGTAGAGACTATCAGCTTTGTGAATAGCTAAGAAATCTGGTCCCATCGCCCAGTTTGACCTTGCCC